ATAGGCCAGGTGCAGTGGCTCATGCCTGTAGTCCCAGCACTTTGGGAAGCCAAGGAAAGTGGATCCTCTGAGGTCAGGAGTTTGAGACCAACCTGACCAATATGGTGAAAGTCCGTTTCTACTTAAAGTACAAAATTAGCCAGGCGTGATGGCATGTGTCTGTAATCCCAGCTACTCAGGAGACAGAGGCCGGAGAATCGCTTAAATGCAGGAGGTGGAGGTTGCAGTGAGCCGAGATCATGCCATTGCACTCCAGCCTGGGCAATACGAGCAAAACTGTCTCAAAAAAATAATAATAATAAAGAAAACAAAAGAAATTTATTTCTCACAGTTCTAGAGACTGGTAAGTTCAATATGAAGGTGCCAGCGTCTTGTAAGGGCCTTCATGATGTTCATACCATGGAAGAAAGGGGAAGGGCTAGTGAGTGTGAGAAAGAAAGAACCCACTTCTCAAAGTCTGCCTTTTTTTACTTCTTTTGAGACAGGGTCTCACTCTGTCACCCAGGCTGGAGTGCAGTCGTTCAATCTTGGGTCATTGCAACCTCTGCCTCCCACATTCAAGTGATTCTCCCACCTCAGCCTCCAGAGTAGCTTGGATTACAGGCATGGGCCACCACACCTGGCTAATTTTTGTATTTTTTGGTAGAGACAGGGTTTCACCATGTTGGCCAGGCTGGTCTCGAGGTCCCTAGTCCTTCAGCACAAGAAAGCCTTTATGTGAGGGGTCCCTCAGGCTGGGATCATCAGTCCCCTGTAGCCCTTGGAGGTGGAGGGCATAGTGGGACAGGGAGAGGGAAAAGGAAGAAGACGGGGTGGAAAAGCATAAGCAAGCAGTAGTTACACCAGCACATTGCACCATACAGCTGTTTGTTAAATCACTCTGGCAAATATTGCAAGTTTAGATGCAAACATTTGCAAGTGGCATGAGGTCACTGAAAGCGACCCAGCAGATCACTGGCCACATTAGGGAGAATATAAATTGGGCTGTTGACACGGAGACGCAGGATGGTTTAATCAAGATAAAGTTGTCTCCCTTCCTCCTAAGAACCCCAGCAGCAATGGTCCAAGGCTGGTGTGACAGCTCCATGGGGTCAAACACCCACTTCTAGGAAGGCTTGTTTCAGAGTCCTCCATCCAGCCAGCCGGAAGAAGGAAGAAGGGGAAGAGTTATGCTCATTCTTCTCATCCTATTGGTTAGAACTGGGTCACATGGCCTCCCTCAGTCACAAGGGAGGCTGGGATATGTAGTCCTTTGTTCCAAGTGGCCCTGTGCCCAGCTAAAAAGAGATAAGGGGAACAAGTAGAAGGCTTTTCCATACCTACACAAGCTCATTTTACCTAAGCTCAGGGGCCCTTCACAGATCCTTTCCATGCCCACTGCCCTGAACCAGCTTTTCCAGACCAAGGAACCTGGAGGGTAAGTTTCTGCCTCTGTACTTCCTAAGCAGGAAGACGGCAGGGAGGAGGTAGCCACCTTAGAGCAGAAATTTGCATTGCGTTCCCACCCCCAGCCCAACTCCCTACTCTTCTTGTCATCTCCTCTCCATGCCTGGGGATGCCCTGAGCTGGGCTTTGGGGAGTACAATTTAGGGAAATACTTTCTAACACGGGACTTGGGAGGGTCAGGGGGGACAGGGTGGAAGGCCCTGGGGAGAAATTGGGCCTCTAGGATGGTCCCTCTAGGAGGACTCACTGGTGCTCACACCCAGGGAATGGCAGCCAGTGTGAGCCATCCTGGTAAAGCAGGTCTGTGCTTCTACTGAGCCCACAGTAAGCCATCCAGCATAAGCTGGGCCAGGTGATCAGCGCAGGCTTTAGCCTGACCCAGAGCGGAGCAAGGGACCATGACCTATCATATGCCCTCAGAAACAGGGTTTCTGAACCGTGGTTCCTGTAGACACCACACCCAAGGCTGCTGGAAAAGCACTGAGTTTCCTTCACCAACAGCTCACCCCCATTCAAGCTCACTGTTTGCTGGAAACATTGCCCCAGCTACCCTCACTATGGCCCTCTGAGCCAGAGCTTGGTATTTTCAAAGAAAGGGGCCCATGAACAGATTTCCTTTCAGTGCTTTGGTGGAAACAGCATATTGTGTGGCCATGTAAATTACCTCCAATCTCTGCCTCAGGGACAGTCCCCAAGTGTGTGAAACACTCTAGTCAGGAATCAGCCCTCTAAAGGGTGTCACATTAGCATTTTAAATATGTACTGTTATTAAAGTCTACACCACAGAGTTTCCCAGCACAAAGGATGTTAGCAGTCCCTTTTCATAGGAGAAGTGTAATGTGATAAAGATATATGCTTGGCTAGAAAGATTCTTGGAGCTCAGCACCGTGCACCATGAGGGAAGCCCAGCAGCCCGGTGCTTCAGGACGGTGCTCAGGGGCAGGGCTCCTGGGTTCATGGAGCCCCCACCCCCTGGATGGACAGGTACAGGTGTGTGCATTTCTTTGTACCTACCTGCTAGTGAACATCTGGACTTCTGGCAGAATTTGATCTAACACCTGCCTTCATTGCAACATTCCACCTCTGGCAAGGTTGTGGGGCAGGGGCTGTCAAGCCATCGTCTGCCTCTCATTAAGGGTCCACATTTTTACCAGAAGATCCCTGTCCATCAGAGCACATGCTCAGTGTCAAGTGGAAGAGTCTGGCTGGGAACCAGGTCAGATTCCCGACCTGTGGCCCCAACCCCAGTCCCACACTGCCTTTCCATGCTGCTTTGGAACCCTCTGGAAGGTCTGGGGAGTTCTGGCATCTTCACTCTAGGACCCATGAGAGCAAGGCACAATGCTGGATGCCCAGCATGGCCACTGAGGGTGACATTGCTGCGTCCATTTCTCAATGGTTGTTTCAACCCCAAAGTGGAAGCCACGTGGGCCCTCCAGCTTTGCCTGGAAGGTGGTGGTGATCTGACGATACCTTTCACAAAACCCACTCTGAAACGTGGCCTGTGTTTGCAGACGGTGGTTCATTCTAACATGGGCTGCTTGATCTTGCCAATCTACACTCTTCATGTGTCTTTCAAGAGGTTTTGGCCGAGAGCAATGAATTTAACCAGCAGTTATGCTCCTGAGTCCACGCTGGCCTTCATTGCTCTCTGAATTAATGTTCCTTTAACAAACTATGGAAGTTGAAAGCACCACCTCCTCTGATCCCCTGTCCCCACCATGGCAGGGCCCATGCATACTGAGCAAACACGGGGTTACTTGACCAGAGAGGGAAGAGGAGGGCCTTCCTTGATCCCATGTTCCAGGCCAAGAGTGGCTTGGAGGAGGGCAGCCACACAGACTACTGCCTCTCGGGGTGCCTGCTGGGAGCTTGCACAATAGCTACTCATCTCCCACCTTCCCTCCTGACGCAACCCTCCATGTGGTCAGCAACCAATCTCAAGGCCCTCTGCACCTGGCCCATCACAGGTGCAAAAGTCAGATGGGGTGAATGGTTAGCCAGAATCCCTAAGCCAGTGGAGGCAGGACCCAACTGGACATGCTGCATTACACACATCTCCCAGGGTTCTCCAAGTGTGATTCCCAGACTTGTACCAGCAGCACAGCCCAGGAACTTGTTAGAAATGCAGATTCCCAGGCCCCGGCCCAGATGCTCCTAATCAAAAACTCGAGGGCTGGGCTGGCAAGCTGGGTTTGAAACAGCCTCCAATCCAGGTGAGACACACTCGACTTTGAGAGCCACTGGTCCAGGCCAATGGTTTTCAGACTGTTTAAAGCAGCTGCCGCCCTCTCAAGACCTCTCCACCAGATGAAACAGGCAGGAAAGGGGATGTCACGGGTGCGGCAATGGGCAGGGCCTCCCCCTGCTCAATTCTTGGCCTCGAAAAAACACTCCTGGAGATTTTTCTGGTTTAATCGTATGCCCAAGGTTTTCACTTTGCACATTCTTTCTCTCTCTCTCTTTTTTTAAGATGGAGTCTCACTCTTGTCGCCCAGGCTGAAGTGCAATGGCGCGGTTTCGGCTCACTCCATCCTCTGCCTCCCGAGTTCAAGAGATTCTCCTGCCTCAGCCTCCCAAGCAGGTGGGATTACAGGTACCTGCTACCACATCCAGCTAATTTTTGTATTTTTAGTAGAAGCGGGATTTCACTATGTTGGTCAGGCTGGTCTTGAACTCCTTACCTCAGGTGATCCGCTTGGCCTCCCAAAGTGCTGGGATTACAGGTATGAGCCACCACGCCTGGCCCACATATTCTTTCTCTTAAGGAAACTGGGCAGACAACACCCAAAGCCAGAGAAAGGGTGTCACAAGGGGAAGAAACCGAAAATGAAATGAAAAATAATAGAAACAGACAAAGCAACAGGCCCACACAGGGAGGCAAGGACAGGTCTAGGAAGCGTGTTTAATTGGCTGGCGTGACATGGACAACATACAGCAGGAGCTGGGGAGGCTGGGGCAAACTACACAGCCCCTGTCCACCCCCAAGCTTCGCCCTAACACTGGCCCCAGAGACACACACCAGCAGGTTCAGACAGGATGGGCACCCGGAAAAGAGACTCAAAGGGGGCTGGGAAGACAAGCAGGAAAGGAAATCTCCACAGCCAGAAGACACTGCCTTTTGTTTTGCAAGCGTTATACCAACTTCTCTCCCAAGTGCAGGCTCCCGGTGGGAGGCAGCCACAGTCCAAACCGCCACCCCTGGGCACCGCCTCCGCCTCTGCGAGGGGCTTTGTTGATGACACTACTCACATTCGGGGGCACCAGGCCCCTGGGAGGCAGGCCCAGCAGAGACTGTTACTTCTATCTGAGGGATGGGGAAACTGAGACCCAATGAGCAGAGGTGACTTGCACAAAGTCCTGGAGGAAGCTGGCCACTGAGTCAGACTGGGAGTGAGGTGGGCCTCCCTGGGGCCAGGGGGCCACGGCAGACACAGGGACAATGGAGGAATGTGCAGGCTGGGGAGGGTGACTCGGGGCTACCCCATCCTGGAGAGGGGGCAAAGCCTGAGCCTGGATGCTAAAATGCCAAGACAGAAGATGGGACCAGCTGATTATTCAACAAAAGCCTTTTATTCATTCAAAAATTAACCATTGGGTTTATTCTGCAGATATTAAAAAAAAAAGGGGGGGGCAAGGCTTCCCATCACAGTGCCCTTAAGTTAATTCACTTGCTATCCAGGGATGGCCTAGCAGAGGGGTGTCTCGGAAACACTGCCAGAAATGTGGGGGCCTGGGGCCTCTGAGGACTCACAGCCCCCTCCTCGCTTCCCAGCTCCAGCCTCCCTCCAGACCTCCCGTCCAGTGGGGTTGCAGCCCAGGTGCGTTGGTGGCTTACTAGCACCAGGGGGCGCCCCGCACTTCCTTAGCCCCCTTAAAACTAAATGCTGAAGCCACGCTGGCAACAGGGTGACTTTCCACCTGGCAGGCAAGCAATGGAGGCTTTCTCCAGAGAGAGGCTGACTCTCCAGGAAAGGATCCCAGGCATCGCGACCATTCCCCCAACCCCCTCCCAAAAGAGACAAAGTTCCTGAAACCCCAGGTGCACTTATCTAGGAAATGGGCTGTCAAACTGAAAAGCATTTCAGGGGGAGAGATGTCAGTACAAAGGGTGATGCGCACGCTTGCCTTGATGTTATTTTAAATGCGGCCTGCTTAGATAATGGAAAATCGGAACATTCTCCCAAGCCACCGTCAACACAAAGTGAGGCGCAGACGCTACGAGGACGAAGCCAGGCCGTGGCCGACCGGCCGCCTGGGGCTGGTGCCTGCTCTGGCCCCCTCAGAGTGAGGCTCTGCAGAGGGATGGAAACGCCACTGTGGAGAGGCGCACGGGCTGCTCGGCAGGCACCTGGCTTAGGGTGCTGCGGCCTTGCTGCAGCCAGAGGCGTGGGAAGAGGGAGGGCAGAGATCCTTCCCTGCGGAGAAACCTCCAGTGAAAATGGCCAGTGTCCGGCACCCCATCAGGGCCGGGAAGAAGGGTAGCCCTCCCAGCAGCTCAGGGCTGGCTTGGGCGTGGGCCCACCAGTACACTGGGCTGCAGTCCACAAGGATGCCATCTGCTAAGGCCAGACCCACACCCGTGGCTCCAAAACAAAAGGCCAAAGGGCAGGATTGTGGAGGAAGGCTGGGCACACCGAAGGGGTCCACGTGCTGACCCCCAGGCACCCTCAGCCACAGGCCCGGCTGTACAGCAGTGTCAGTCCCACTGGACCAGAGGGGCAAATGGAGGCTCAGAAAAGGCCAAAGAAAAGTAATTCGACCTGGGAAAGACCCTCATCCTCTCGACTCTAGCCACCATGTTCATCCCCTGCCCCGACCCCAGGTCAGAGCCCGGCTGAGAAACTTCAGCCATTGGAGCTGAGTCCCAGCTAGCCCGGGCCAGCGGCTGAGCAGGAAGCTGCCTGGGAGGGGCCTCAGAGAGTCCGCCCTTCAAAGCCACCTGTGATGGTAGAACCACTGACCGCATCCCTGCAGGATGTTGGTGAGGGGGTGGGATGGGTTATAATGGGGCTGGCATGCAGCTCTCAGGGGTGATTGCTGGGGTTTGCTGACTGCTCCGGCCACCGGGAACAGCCACACAGCCCCACATGGCAAAGGCGCTCCAGCGGAGATCTTCCTGTGTCTGGAGAGCTGCTTGCTGAGGGTGGGGACTGAGGGTCAGAGTGTCCCCTCTAAAACATGGATGATAGGCTGTTGCCTTTGCAAAGCAGCAGCAAGAATTCCAGACCCAAGCCTGGCCCCGACAGTCTGCGAGGCGGCTTCTCACCTCAGAAGCCTTCCCTGGCCGAGGAATCGCTCTGGGCCCCAAAGGGAGCTCGAGGGTCTGCAGGGGACCAGGAAATGCAGGAAGGGACAAAGTGTGCCACATGACACATTCATCTGCTGGAACAGACCCCACACACCAGCAAGCAGCAGTGGCTCTGTCTGAAGATGGGGCCAAGAGTCGCCATGGGGGCTGTGCTGGGACTGACAGTCCTGAGCCTGCTGGAGTCAGGCAAACTCAGCCACAGGCCACAGAATAACCAAGTACAGGAAACTGAACCGCAAGCCTAGAACTATACAATGTCAGCATGGAAAAGGGCCTTCAAGACCAAGCGGCCCAGGCCTCCTCGCTCTGCGGATGGGGCCCCTGAGACCCAGAGCACTCAGGAGGCTTAACACAATCACAGAGCGAAGGCCAGACCTCGGGCTAATACCTCTGGTCCAGGGTGGCCTCACACTCTGGGGACGCCCCTGCCTCGCTGGCAGGCAGAGCTGGAAGCCTCTGTGAAGACGTGGGGGCCACAGCCCCAGGGGTAGGGACTACCTCAATGGGACTGCCTGGAACTCTTCTCCTTCCCTCCCTCCCAGCCTTTGAGCCAACAGAAGGCCAGGGAAGGATGCCATGCAGTTCACTGGGAACAGCAGATCGGAAGGCGGGAAGGCAGAGTGTCAGAGAGTCATGAACTATCTTCAAATCCCCTCCCAGCCCAAGGAGGCAGCGCTCCCCTTTATTTCTGCTAACTTCCTTCAAAGACCGCGTCTCCCGCCTCTGCCTGGGTCCCGAGCCTGCTCTTCTGCCTCCCAGCCTTAGGCGCTGCTTTCCATGCTGCGGCAAACACCAAAGCAAGGGCTGAGAAACTGAACAGGTCCCCTGTTCAACTCACAAAAAAGTGCTCCGGACTCACAGGAGAACAAGGATGTGGGGGACGGGGGCAGCAGGGAAAAGGGGTTCGGCAGGAGGCATGGGGCTGGAGGGAACAGTGCATTGGCCATTTAGGAATTTCCACCTTTCCCCTCTCCAAAAACTCAAGCACAGTATCTGAAAAAAAAAAAAATTTTTTTTTTGGCTTCTTGGCCGCTGCAGGCCACCATCCTCCCAAGTCAGCGTGGGCAGGTGGGTCAGGGTGTGCACATGTAAACGGTGGCCCCCAGCCCTGGGATCTGAGGACACACGAGGCAGCAGCAACAGTTAACAACCAATAAATAAAAGATATCAATTATATATGTATATATAAAAAAAAAACTCACTTTCCCCACAAAAAGCACAATACTGTTGTCACAAAAAACCCTCATCCTCATAATGAATCATCCTAGCCACGCAGGTGGTTTTGCTGCTAAAAGATGGGACAACAAAGAACGTGGACCAGGCAGAACCCCCAGATACCCCCGGCCCGCCCACAGCCTCTCTGGCTGCAGGGGGGTGAGGGACAGGGGCGAGGCAGAGTTCTCTGAGGTCCCCAGGCCTTCTCCCCATCTGTCAGTCTGTGTCTTCTAGGATAGAAGGTAGTTGCTTTTTTTTTTTCTTTTAAAACGTCTGTTTGAAACAAAAAACAAAAGCACACGCGCAAGAGAGCGGGAGGAACGGAGACGCAGCCGGCGAGGCAGCCGAGTCCTTGGTTTTGCAGAGGGCTGTAGCCTTTTCATTTCGCGTTGCCGTTTTCCAGACAAGCAGAGGTTGTTGGCAATTGGAGCCGGTGGCTTCAGGCGGCGGGTGGGTGCAGGGCAGGGGAGAGGAGAGCCGGGGCCTCCCGGGTCAAGGGCAGCCGGCTGTGTGTGGGTGCGGAAGAAGGCTGGGTGGACACACGGGGGTGGTGTTGGGGCTGAGGCGGCCTCATGGCAGAGGAGGAGGTGAGTGGTTCCCAGGCATCTGGAAGACACAAGGAGGCGAAATGGGGTAAGATCGACTGCAGGGAATAGGGACTGAGGTCCAGCCACAGAGGACAGGCACACAGAGCTGGCCGGAAGGGCGTTAGAGGGCAAGGTGGCACTCTTTGTCAGAAGTCCTAAAAATGTGCATAACCTCTGAGGCACCCATTGGGTTCACATATGTATCCTTGATGAAATGTTCACCACAGCATCATCTGTAATAGAAAGCAAAAACCAAAATGGAGGCAGAGAAAATAATCTAGGTGTCCCGTATCAGGGGGGTGGTGGAATACATCAGGACACACCCACAGAACAAAACTGCTTACAACCATTAAAAACAATGCATAGAATGGCCGAAAGCACATGAAACATGTTCAACATCCCAAGTCATTAGGGAAACACACATCCAAACCACAGGGAGGGCCAGGAGCGGTGGCTTGAACCTGTAAACCCAGCACTTTGGGAGGCTGAGGCAGGAGGATCACTTGAGGCCAGGAATTCAAGACCAGCCTGGCCACACAGTGAAACCTGGTCTCTACCAAAAATGCAAAACTCAGCCAGGCATGGTGACACACATCTGTCATTCCAGCTGCTCAGGAGACTCGGGCAGGAGAATCACTTGAACCCAGGAGGCAGAGGTTGCAGTGAACCGAGATTGCATCACTGCACTCAAGCCTGGGCAACAGAGTGAGACCCTGTCTCGAAAAAAAAAGAAAGAAAGAAAAACACAGTGAGGCAACCATTTCATACCCACTAGGATGGGTATCTCTTTTTTTTAATGGAAAATAAGAAGCGTTGGCAAGGATGTGGGGAAACTGGAAGCTTTGTCCACTGCTGCCGGGAATGCAAGATGGTGTCACTACTTTGGAGATCAGTTTAGTGGTTCCTCAAACAGTTAACCAACCATATGACCCAGCAACTCCACTCCTAGGTATATACCCAAAGAACTGAAGACCGATACTCAGGGCAGGTGTGATGGCTCACACCTGTAATCCCAGCATGGGTGGATCACCTGAGATCAGGAGTTTGAGACTCTCCTGGCCAACATGGTGAAAACCCATCTCTACTAAAAATACAAAAGTTAGCCAAGTGTGGTGGCACGTGGCTGTAGTCACAGCTACTCAGGAGGCTGAGGCAGGAGAATCACGTGAACCCAGGAGGCGGAGGTTGCAGTGAGCCGAGATTACACCATGTACTCCAGCCTGGGCAACAAGAGCAAGACTCCGTCTCAAAAAAATAAAAATAAAAAAGAAAATTTAGAAGGTTTTTTTTTGAGACAAGGTCCCACTTTATCACCTAGGCTAGAGTGCAGTGGTGCAATTACAGCTCACTACAGCCTCAACCTCCCTGGTTCAAGCAATCCTCCTGCCTCAGCTCCCCCAAGTAAATGGGACTATAGGTGCATGTCACCACACCCAGCTAATTTTTGTATTTTTGGTAGAGATGGGGTTTCACCATGTTAGCCAGGCTAGTTTTGAACCCTTGGGCTCAAGTGATCCGTACACCTCGGCCACCCTAAGTGCTGGGATTACAGGCATGAGCCACAGCACATGGCCTAAATAAATTTAAGAGACCCATCAACCAATTGCAATGGTAGACTGTATTCAGATTCTAATTTCAGTAAACAAAGTTAAAAAAAAAATGGTGAGATAAGAAAACTAGAATAGCAACTAGAGATCAGAGGGAATTATGGAATTATTGATTTTCTGGCTTTATGAAATTTTTTAAAGATTCTTTATCTTTTAGAAATATATTTTGAAATGGATTAAGTATGATGATATCTTGAATTTGCTTCAAAATAACCAAGAGTGGGGGTGGGAGGGGAAGGGCATAGATGGTTACAAGGTTGGCAGGGAACTGGGAAGTTGAGTGATGGGTATGTAGTATTATACTTTATATTTTTTAAAGTGACAGGGTCTCACATTATCACCTAGGCTGGCGTATAGTGGTACAATCCTAGTTTACTGAAGCCTTGAACTCCTGGGCTCAAGCAATACTCCTGCCTCAGCTTCCTGAGTAGCTGGGACTACAGGCATGTGCCACCACACCTGGTTAATTTTTGTATTTTTTGTAGACACGGGGTCTCTCTATGTTCTCTAGGCTGGTTTCCAACTCCTGGCCTAAAGCAATCCTTCCACTTCAGCCTCCCAAAGCACTGGGATTATAGTGATGACCACGCCCAGCCGGCCAGCATTACACTATTCTCTCTACCACTGCGTATGAATGCTTCCATAACAGATCATTTGTTGTTGTTGTTGTTGTTGTTGTTTTTGAGACAGAGTCTTGTCTTGCTCTGTCGCCCAGGCTAGAGTGCAGTGGCGTGATCTCTGCTCACTGTGACCTCCGCCTCCCAGGGTCAAGTGATTCTCCAGCCTCAGTCTCTTGAATGGCTCGGATTATAGGTGCCCACCACCACACTCGGTTTATTTTTGTATTTTTTGTAGAGACAGGGTTTCACCATGTTGCCCAGGCTGGTCCCGAACTCCCAACCTCCAGTGATTCACCCGCCTCGGCCTCCCAAAGTGCTGGGGTTACAGGCATGAGCCATCATGCCTGGCCCATAATAGGTAATTTTTTAATCTCTTCCCCAAATTTCCAACAACCTGAGTGTCTAACCCTGTGGAACTGGTTAAATTATGGCCCAGCCATGTGGTGGAGCACTATGCAGCTATGAAAAATGATGGTCTCAACATTTAATGATGTGGAAAATAAGCCTCATCTCCATTTCTGAATAAGTCAATGACTTACATAACTGCAAGTGATCTAGGAATTATGAGCTCTCAGGAATCTGAGGAGGCAAATAAATCATCAAAATAATAGAACACAAATTAGATATAATTACTACAGCGTAGGCACGAAGAACAGCCCTATAGGAGAATGAAGACCATTTCCTGGCAGAGCTAATAGAAAGGGCGGGGTCATATCATGGGAGGGCTCCTGTCACTTTGACAAGCTTGTCATGGAAATAACGTAACATGGTGATTTGCAAAAGGGGACTGTGAAAAATTAGACAACGTATCAGCGTTTACCATGGGACACGTCAAGGTACACGTCAAGCAATTCTATGATAGAAATATTGGCCAGGTGCAATGGCCCACTCCTGTAATCCCAGCACTTCGAGAGGCTGAGGTGGGCAGATCACAAGGTCAGGAGTTTGAGACCAGCCTGGCCAACATGGTGAAACCCCATCTCTACTAAAAATACAAAAATTAGTCGGGCATGGTGGTGAATGCCTGTTAACCCAGCTACTTGGGAGGCTGAGGCAGAAGAATTGTTGGAACCCAGGAGGCGGAGGTTGCCGTGAGCTAAGATCGTGCCACTGCACTCCAGCCTGGGAAACTCTGTCTCAGAAAAGAAAAAAAAAAAAAATATATATATATATATATAAAATGGTGAGAGTTTCTTTATAAATTGGTTTTAATTATATATTTCTGTGTGACTCAGTTTACTGAGCACTGAGTTTTGTAAGTGTTCAATTCTTTTTAAATCACTCTGGACACTAAAAATGTTCACTGTGTTTATATCTGGGTCATGCATAAGGGTTTTTATTAAAATAAACTTTTTAATTCAGGATTTCTCATTAAACATATTTTCTGACATCTCTTCAATAAAAAAGGATTTCTTGTAAAAAATAAAATAATAATAATTCGAAACACTGTAAAGCTTCAAAACACTGGCCGGGACAGTGGCTCACACCTGTAGCCCCAGCACTTTGGGAGGCACAGTGGCTCACACCTGTAGCCCCGGCACTTTGGGAGGCACAGTGGCTCACACCTGTAGCCCTGGCACTTTGGGAGGCACAGTGGCTGACACCTGTAGTCCCAGCACTTTGGAAGGCACAGTGGCTCACACCTGTAGTCCCAGCACTTTGGGAGGCCGAAGTGGGCAGATCACCTAAGGTCAGGAGTTTCAGACCAGCCTGGCCAACATGACTAAAACCCATCTTTACTAGAAATACAAAAATTAGCCAGGCTTGGTGGCAGGTGCCTGTAGTCTTAGCTACTCAGGAGGCTGAGGCAGGAGAATTGCTTGAACCTGGGAGGTGGAGGTTGCAGTAAGCTGAGCTCGTGCCACTGCATTCCAGCCTGGGTGACGCAGTGAGACTCTGTCTTGAAAAAAAAGAAACAAAAAACACTGTAGGCCTCCTAAACAAAATACCAACAAATCAAGTTTATGATACATGAAAAAGATAACACACCATGGCAAAGTGGAGTTTATTCTAAGAATGCATGGTGACTTAGCATTCAAAAACCAATCTATAGCTGGGCACAGTGGCTCACACCTGTAATCTCAGCACTTTGGGAGGCCAAGGTAGGAGGATCACTTGAGGTCAAGAGTTTGAAACCAGCCTGGACAACATTAGTGAGACTCTACAAAAAAAATGTCTTTGGGCCGGGCGCGGTGGCTCAAGCCTGTAATCCCAGCACTTTGGGAGGCCGAGGCGGGTGGATCACGAGGTCAAGAGATCGAGACCATCCTGGTCAACATGGTGAAACCCCGTCTCTACTAAAGATACAAAAAATTAGCTGGGCATGGTGGCGCGTGCCTGTAGTCCCAGCTACTCGGGAGGCTGAGGCAGGAGAATTGCCTGAACCCAGGAGGCGGAGATTGTGGTGAGCCGAGATCGCGCCATTGCACTCCAGCCTGGGTAACAAGAGCGAAACTCCGTCTCAAAAAAAAAAAAAAAAAAAAAAAAAACGTCTTTAGTTAGCCAGGTATGGTGGCACATGCCTGTAGTCCCAGCTACTTGGGAGGGCTGAGGTGGGAGGCTTATTTGAGCCTGGGAGGTCAAGGCTGCAGTGAGCCATGACCTGGTGGCTGGGTGATGAGTGAGACCCATTCATAGAAATAAAAAGAAATAAAGAAAAAGAAAAAGTAATGAATGTCACTTCCAAGATTATGCTATAAAAAGACAGTGGAGCACTTTGGGAGGCTGAAGTGGGCAGCTCATGAGGTCAGGAGTTCAAGAGACCAGCCTGACCAACATGGTGAAACCCCGACTCTACTAAAAATAAAAAAATTAGCCGGCTATGGTGGCGCATGCCTGTGGTCCCAGCTATGCTGGAGGGTGAGGCAGGAGAATTGGTTGAAACTGGGAGACGGAGGTTGCAGTGAGCTGAGATCATGCCATTGCATTCCAGCCTGGGCGACAGAGTGAGGCTCTGTCTCAAAAAAAAAAAAAAAAGAAGACGACAGTGGCTTTCATCCTGGCTCTCCTTCTCTCCCTCCCTCTTGGAAAGCTCTGAGGGACACTGGCAGCCATGTTGTGAGGCAGCCCAGCGCAGGTGTCTACATGGCAAGGGAATGAGGCTGCCAAACCATATGAGTGAGATTGGAAGCAGGTTGCCATCAGCCAAACCTTCAGATGAGACCACAGCCCTGGCTAATGGCTGACTATCCCAATTTTCCCGGGACCGAGGAGTTTCCTAGAACGTGGATTTCACACTGCTAAATCCAGGATAGACCCAGGCAAACCCTACTGACAGGGGAACTGCATACTCCTGAGAGTCCTTGAGCCAGAGGCACCCAGCTTAACTGTGCCAAATTCCTAATGTTTGTTCTTAAGCTACTGTTTGTGGTAATGTAATATGTAGCAATGGATAACTAACCTAGCATGTCACAAATGAGCACATTAAAATGGATGATACAGGCCGGGTGCGGTGGCTCAAGCCTGTAATCCAAGCACTTGGGAGGCCGAAGCGGGTGGACCACGAGGTCAAGAGATCGAGACCATCTTGGTCAACAAGGTGAAACCCCGTTTCTACTAAAAATACAAAAAATTAGCTGGGCATGGTGGCACGTGCCTGTAGTCCCAGCTACTCAGGAGGCTGAGACAGAAGAATTGCCTGAACCCAGGAGGCGGAGGTTGCGGTGAGCCGAGATCACGCCATTGCACTCCAGCCTGGGTAACAAGAGCGAAACTCCGTCTCAAAAAAAACAAAAAACAAAAATTAGGCTGGGCACTGTGGTTGACACCTGTAATCCCAGCACTTTGGGAGGCCGAGGTGGGCGAATCACTTGAGGTCAGTAGTTCGAGACCAGCCTGGCCAACATGATAAAATGGATGATACACTTAACAACAAGGCGTTCAATGTCACTGCTCATCAGAGAAATGCAAAGTCAACTTAGAAGGAGTTATCACTCCGTACTCACAAAAATGGCTAAAATTTGAAAAGATAGAAAATGCCCAATGTTGGCGAGGATGAGGAGCAACTTGAACCCCTATACTCTACTAGTGGGATTGCAAGACGGCACAACCTCTTTGGAAAACTGTTTACTAGTAACTACCAAAGCTAAATATTACACACAACCTACATCCCAGCAATTCCACCCTGACATATATATCAACAGCAGGCACCCAGTGGCTCACCAGGACACGGACAAGTGCATTGATAGCTAGGCAAGACCTTGGGTGTTATTCATGCCCAGTTCCCCCAGACAACATTGAACACTCCACAGAGAAGAGGCAGGAAAAGAGGGGAGAGGGGAGGAGAAGGAGAGAAGGGAGACTGCTCTCTACGAGCAACAGGAGCTTCTGCCAGGCATGCTATCATTCTACACTTACAACAAATCCAACTGGACAGCACACACACACACACACACCAGGCATGCTATTATTCTAGACTTACAACAAATCCAACTGGACAGCACACACACATACATGCACACACACACCAGACATGCTATCATTCTACACTTACAACAAATCCAACTGGACAGCACACACACACACACACACACACACCGGGAATGCTATCATTCTACATTTACAACAAATCCAATGGACAGCATGCACACACACACACGTACACACGCACACACCAGGCATGCTGTCATTCTACACTTACAACAAATCCAACTGGACAGCACATTTGCACACACACACACACACACACCAGGCATGCTATTCTACACTTACAACAAATCCAACTGGAAAGCACACGCACACACATGCACACACACACCAGGCATGCTATCATTCTACACTTACAACAAATCCAACTGGACAGCGCATGCACACCCACATACACACACACACACACACACCGGGCATCCTATCGTTCTACACTTACAACAAATCCAACTGGACAGCGCATACACACTCACACACGCCAGGCATCCTATTGTTCTACACTTACAACAAATCCAACTGGAAAGCACACGCACACACATGCACACACACACCAGGCATGCTATCATTCTACACTTACAACAAATCCAACTGGACAGCGCATGCACACACACATACACACACACACACACACACCGGGCATCCTATCGTTCTACACTTACAACAAATCCAACTGGACAGCGCATACACACTCACACACGCCAGGCATCCTATTGTTCTACACTTACAACAAATCCAACTGGACAGCATGCGCGCATACACACACACACACACACACAAACACACACACTGGGCATGCTATTGTTCTACACTTACAACAGATCAAACTGGACAGCACACACACACACACACACACCGGGAATGCTATCATTCTACACTTACAACAAATCCAACTGGACAGCACACACACAAACACACACTTGAGCTATTGATCCAGACAGCCAGGAGCTTAGGTCTCTGACCGGTTTCCCAGAGAGGGGATGAGAGATTGCTCTCCCAGGCCACTGGCCCTGGTTGGGAACTGATTTTCAAAGTGTCTTCCATCCGGGAAATTTTTTTTTTTTTAGTTAGAGTCTTGCTCTGTCACCCAAACTAGAGTGCAGTGGCACAATATCAGCTCCCTGCAACCTCCACCTCCAGAGTTCAAGTGATTCTGCTGCCTCAGCCTCCCGAGTAGCTGGGACCACGGGCATACACCACCATGGCCAGCTAATTTTTGTATTTTTAGTAGAGATGGGGGGTTCACTATGTTGGCCAGGCTGGTTACTAACTCTGGACCTGGGCCTCACAAAGTGCTGGGATTACAGGCATGAACCACCGCAGCTGACCCACCCAGAAAAACTCTATTCAAGCAAACTCGCAGGCCAATCTGGGTCTATAAAAAATGATCAAACCGAGGAGCTCTGACCAATCTGAAAGCCCCCCTTCCAGCCTCCCCTCCCAGCTATGTCCCCACTGGGCTGACCCCAAAACCCCCAGAGACTCAAGTACTTACCTGCCAACCCTACGTGTCCCGGTGCTGGATTTTTACCTCGGACCCACCCCAGACCCACCCCAGTCCCCAAGTGCATACTCACCCTGCTCCGGCCCGGCCCGGGACTATACCAGCCCGTCGTAGAGGGACAGCGCCTGCACGATGGACGGGTCCGCCTTGGACCCTTCCTGGAACTCCTGCAGGGTCAGCTTCCCATCAGCATTCTGAGAGCAGAGAGAGGCGGCTAAGGGTGCAGGGTCTCCCAGGAGAGGGCTCTGGACAAGCCCAGCCCAGGGCCGGTCCCAAAAGCCCTTCCAAGGTTAGATCAGGAGGAAGGCGACATGGCTCAGGGCCTATGAGAAACTGGCAGCGGACAGACCTCGGCACTCACAGTGGGGTGGCCTTGGGCCGTGGCCCACCTCTCTGGGCCTGTTTCTTCCCTGGGGATGGAGGGTAATTGCCTGGCTTCCTCCAGGTCTTGGGGTGACAGCTCTGTGCTTGACCAACTGGAAGTGCCCCATAACTCCACACGTCATTGTCACTGCTATTAATCCCCATCAATGTACGTAATCGACAAGGCTTAGAGTGTCATGCAGTTCTCTGGGGTCGCTCTTGGGAAGCATTTCAACTGCCCCTGGAGCAACCCACACCAGACCCTGGGAGACCCAGCAGGGGGCTGAGCACAGCTGAGACAGAGGAACTTTAGTGGGTCTCTTGGGGAGGGGACGGTTTGGGTCAGAATCCCTTCCCCTGGAACATCTCTCAAGGAAGCCTGTGAGACCACAAGAAAATGGCCACAGAGAGCACCTACATGACCTCAGGTAGCCAGAGGGGACGCACACCAATGACAGCTCCGACACACACCCCAGCCATGCTCAGGGACCGCGTGCTGCATACACAACCCATGCCAAGGATGGAGCAACCCTCAGGGCATGGAACCCACACAGCCAACCCAAGAGGAGGGTGCTGCTCTCAGCCCCATTCTACCAGTGAGGAAACTGAGGCTCCATCACCTACCCAGGCCCCAGGGCCGGGAGATGCTGATGTCAGATTCACACCCCAGTCCATGTGACTACAGGGTCTGTGCTGTTTCCCAAAATGAGGGAGGTGCAGACAGCGGGGCGGTAAGGAATGCATGGCACCAAGCCACATGGAGGCCACCACAAGAAACTCATTATTCCGTGCTCCACGCTCTGTCCATACATCTTCGGATCATTACCAAGAGGCCAGCTGGGTCTGAGGCCAGCATGTCTCTACCAACCCTCTCATGTGGGCTAAACTCCCTTTTTTAATTAAGAAAGTACAGGCCTCAGGCTCAAAGCTTTTAGGGCCAACAGCTGTCTCCAGCCAGAATATAATAAGCAGCCCTGAGTTACAGGAATTTCTATGATATTTTTAATTTTGTATTTACTTTTTTTTTTTTTTTTTGAGACAGAATCTCACTCTGTCACCCAGGCTGGAGTACAGTGGCACAATTAGGACTCACTGCAGCCTTGACTTCCCAGGCTCCAGCACTCCTCCCACCTCAGCCTCCCAAGTAGCTGGGACCACAGGTGCATACGACCATACCCAACCAATTTTTTAATTTTTTGTAGAGATGGGGTTTTGCCATGTTGCCCAGGCTGGTCTTGAACTCCTGAGCTCAAGTGATCCACTTGCCTCAGCCTCCCAAAGTGCTGGGGTTACAGGTGTGAGCCACCGTGACTGGCCATTTTATATTATTTTACTGAAGGCAAGTAACACCTAGATTTCCTTAACATCATTATTTCAAATTTCCATTTAAAAAGTTATTTTATGTAATCCCAGCACTTTGGGAGGCTGAGGCGCGTAGATCACTAGGTCAAGAGATCGAGACCATCCTGGTTAACATGGTGAAACCCCGTCTCTACTAAAAATACAAAAAATTAGCTGGGCACGGTGGCGCATGCCTATAATCCCAGCTACCCAGGAGGCTGAGGGAGGAGAATTGCCTGAACCCAGGAGGCGGAGGTTGCAGTGAGCCGAGATCGCGCCATTGCACTCCAGCCTGGTTAACAAGAGCAAAACTCCGTCTCAAAAAAAAAAAAGTTATTTTAGTTTAAAAAGAAGTTTGATTTAAAGAAGGATTCCTTTTTTTTTTTTTTGGAGTCCTTGTTTTAGGCTTTTATTTTAGGTTCAAGGATGCACGTGCAGGTTTGTTATATGGGTAAATCCTGTGTTGTGGGGGTTTGCTGCACAGATTATTTCATCACCCAGATGACATAGTACCTGATAATAGGTGGGTTTCAATCCTCACACTCCTCCCACCTTCTACCCTCAAGAGGGCCCCAGTGTCTATGGTACCTTTTCTTTTTTGAGACAGAGTCTTGATCTGTTGCCAGGCGCCAGTTTGGAGTGCAGTGGTGCAATCTCGGCTCACTGCAACCTCTGCCTCTCGGGTTCAAGCAATTCTCGTGCCTTAGCCTCCCAGGTAGCTGGGACTACAGGCGCGTGACACCACACCCAGCTAATTTTTGTATTTTTTTAGTAGAGATGGGGTTTTACCATGTTGGCCGGGATGGTCTCCATCTCTTGACCTTGTGATCCACCCGCCTCGGCCTCCCAAAGTGCTGGGATTACAGGCGTGAGCCACTGCGCCTGGCCCCCTTTTTTATTTTTTTTTATTTTGAGACCCACTCTTGTGGCCCAGGCAGGAGTGCAGTGTGTGATCTTGGCTCACTGCAACCTCCACCTCCTGGGTTCAAGCAATTTTCCTGCCTCAGCCTCCCAAATAGCTGGGATTACAGGCATGTGCCACCATGCCTGGCTAATTTTTTTGTAATCTTTTTTTTTTTTTTTTTTTTTTTTTTTTAGTAAAGACAGAGATTCACCATGTTGGTCAGGCTGGTCTCAAACTCCTGACCTCAGGTAATCCACATGCTTCGGCCTCCCAAAGTGTCAGGATTAGAAGTGTGAGCCACCACGCCCGGCCTATGGTTCCCTTTAAAGAAGGGTTTCTTAACCTTGGGCCTGTGGATAGAAATCAGCAGGACTGTGAACTTGGGGGAAAAAATCAGTCTATCTTTTCACTAACCTCTAACTGAAATGTAGCTTTTCCTTCGATAGGAACCTAGATGATGGTCCCCAACAGGACCTGCAGTCCCCGTGATCTGTCGACAGTGGGGTCACAGGTATTTTCATAGCGTCCCAGTTGCAGATAGGACAGCTCCCAATTTCCCAGTGGGGCTTGTCAGCCCCACCACTACATCTTAGTTAATGCGTTAAGAAGAGCAGCTCACAGAATGCTACATCACAGATTCTTTTTTAAAAATACTCTGACAGCTGTTTTCTAAAATAATCAGCTTCCTTTTTGATCTTCTGAAAGCCGTTATTCTGAGAAGTCCGTAGGCTTCTCCAGAATGCCAAAGGGGTCTGCGGCAAACCAAAAAAATAAAGCCTGAGGACTTTGGTTGATTAGAGAAAGCACACCAGCAAACTGACTTAAGACTCTGGACACTGGATGCGGCTGGCTGCTGACCGTGGATGTGCCACCAGGCCGTGCCGCCTGCCGTGAGCCAGCCCCATACTCGATGGCAGCAAAGGCGGGCCCAGGCTCCAGGGACCCCAATTCCTGCCCCGACCCTTTGCCTCCCCGGTCTGGGACCAGCCCCAGCCCCACCTCACCTTGTCCATCATGGCAAAGATCCGGTCCACTCTCTTTTCTGGAGTGTTCTCCTCCTCTGGGAGCTCCACGGTGTTCCCCTGCAGGGACAGACAAGGCGGGACTGGGGCCTGGCACCCTGGGCTTTGGGCTCTTGGCCACACATTTGCCCCCCAGACCTGGCAGGTTCCAGATGAGAACCACCTCCCTCTTCTTTCCTCTCCCCATCCCTGCCATTCTGCCCTGGAATATCCCACACCCCAGCCCCACTATCTGCCAGCCCCTGCCTGCCAACCTGCCCAGGCAGAGATGTACAGAACAGAACAGCTCAACCAGGGACCCCCGCTCCCACCCTGGGCAGGGGCACCGCTGCACAGGTGCTGTCTCTTTCTCAGTCACTGGCTTTGCCCCTCCTGCCATCCCCACACCATGGGAACCAGCCTCTCACCACCATCTGGTAAATGGCGTCCACAATGTCTAGCATCTCATTCCTGGTTATGTAGCCGTCGTTGTCTAAGTCATAGAGTTTGAAGGCCCCTGTAAGCAACAGCCAGCGCTGAGTGAGCAAGGCTGGGGCGGCTGGGAGGGGTCTTCAGCTCACCCCTCCTCTCTGTACCCCAACATGAAGTTAGAGACCGGATGGCCCATTCTTCATCAGGTCAACAAATATTTACATCAAGATAGGGACAGACACACACACACACACACACACACACACACACACACACACACACACCCCATTGCAGCTAGGGTTAAAAATAAATAAGGCTGGGTGTGGTGGCTCACACCTGTAATCCCAGCACTTTGGGAGGCTGAAGTGGGTGGATTGCTTGAGCCCAGGAGTTCGAGATCAGCCTGAGCAACATGGCAAAACCCCATCTCTACAAAATACAAAAATTAGCTGGGCGTGGTGGCATGTGCCTATAGTTCCAGCTACTTGCAAGGCTGAGGTGGGAGGATGGCTTGAGCCCAGGAGGTGAAGGTTACAATAAGCCGAGATCGAGCCACTGCACTCCAGCCTGGGTGACAGAGCAAGACCTTCTCTCTCTCACTTTCTCTCTCTCTCTCTCCATATATGTATGTGTGTGTGTGTGTGTGTGTGTGTGTGTGTGTGTGTGTATTAATTAATTAAAAATAACAGGACCAGGCACAGTGGCTCACGCCTGTAATCCCAGCACTTTGGGAGGCCGAGATGGGCGGATCACCTGAGGTCAGGAGTTTGAGACCAGCCTGGCCAACATGGTAAAACCCCATCTCTACTAAAAATACAAAAATTAGCCAGGCATGGTGGTGAGCACCTGTAATCCCAGCTACTTGGGAGGCTGAGGCACGAGAATCACTTGAATTCGGGAGGCAGAGGTCGTAGTGAGCAGAGACCGCACCACTGCCCTCCAGCCTGGGAGACAGAGCGAGACTCTGTCTCTAAATGAATAAATAAAATAAAGGGAAGAGGCATTGGGCTTCCAGGGCCGAGGCCTCAGAGGCTGGAGCCGAGTGAGTGGGAAGCCAGGGGCCTGGGGTGTGGCCCAGAGGAGTCTATCCACCACCCTACTCCCTCCCCCACTCCAGCCCCACCTCCTCCCCATGGTCCACTCGGCTCCCACAGTTATGCTGTGGCCCCGACAGTCAACATTAGATAATAAATAGTGCAACACGAGGAGGATCTTTTGCATAAATAAAATTCTCTTTTATTCCTTAAAAAAAAAAAGGCCAGGCACAGTGTGTCACGTCTGTAATCCCAACACTTTGGGAGGCCAAGGCAGGTGGATCACGAGGTCAGGAGTTCGAGACCAGTCTGGCCAACATAGTGAAAACCTGTCTCTATTAAAAATACAAAAATTAGCTGGGTGTGGTGGCAGGTGCCTGTAGTCCCAGCTACTCAGGAGGCTGAGGCAGGAGAATCACTTGAACCCGGGAGGCAGAGGTCATGGTAAGCCAAGATCGTGCCACTGCATCCAGCCTGGGCAACAGAGTGAGACTCCACCTCAATCAATCAATCAATCAATAGAAACTGCAGGGTCTTCTGGCTGCTGGCGGAATGAAGTGTGAAAGTCTTCCCGAGCAGGGAGCTCTGGCCACATGGTTTCCATCTTCCCCACCCTTCACCCTCCCTGCATTCCTGCTAATGCCGCCAGGGGCCTGAACAGCCTCCCTCCTGTCCTCTCAGCCTCCCTCTATGGGCCTCGCACCTGCGGGCCCCCCTGCCTGGAGCCCTTGCACCCCTCCCAGCTCCCCTCACCCCAGCCCAGCGCCTACCAGGCAGGTCCCCTCCTGCTCAGGACTCCCTCTCCCGCTCGCCTACAGTTTCCTGAGGTTTTGGTAAATCCTGCTGCCATGCTAGACTGACAACCGTGAAAGCAGGACCTATCTACCTTATCCCCAGTGGGTCCCTGGTACCAACAGCTGGCTGCGTGCAGTCGTCATCTGGCGAATGAACAAGTAAGTGAAGGAGTGAAAGCCGGAATCAAAGCAGTGGCTATGAAAGAGGTGGGTCCGGCACTGAACTTGTTTCTTGGGTCCCCACTGCCCCTCCCGCTGCCCAGGTCTGCACCTGCCAGAGTGTAGCCAAGGCTCCTGCCAGCCTCTGCCCTCAGCCCTCCACCTCCAGGAAACCCTCTGACCTAGAAGCGCCAATGTCTGTGCTACTCTCTGAACCCGGGACAGCTGGTCTGGCCTAGTTACTTGGCCATGTGAGGGCTACCTGCCCAGGGCCAGGCCTGCCCTCAGTGGACAGACAGAGCTGGGACACCATCTGCGGTCACTGCGGTGGGCGTCTGGTGCCCCTGCCTGGTGAGGGCAGAGGACTGCCTCCCTCTTGCCTGGGCCCGCCAGCTGCTGCCCCATAGGGCCAAAGGAGCTGGACTTACACCGCAGCTTCTCATCCAGGGTCCCCCTCGAGGTCACCGACAGTGCCTGGATGAACTCAGAGAACTCGATCCGCCCGTCCTGACAGGAGAGAGAGGGGATGGTCTCAGTCAGTACCGGCCAGGCCACCAGGTCAGGCTGAACCCTGGAGGTGGGTGAGGGGCAGTCGCAGGCTCCAGACACTGTGACCAATGAACACTCAGGTGGAGAGGGCAGGTTCGAAAGGATGGGGGACAAGACGCAAGGAGAGGGCCAGGAGCAGATGCTGGGGACTGGTTTGGGGTTAGAAGTGGAAGGGGCTGGGAGGGAGGGACAGGAAGAGGGGCTGAAACTGAACAGAGGCTGACTCCACTCCCGATGGGAGAAGGTACCAGAAGCACCAACACCTGCACCCCTCTCAGCAACGGCACCTGGAAACCCCTTGTCCTGGAGCTGTAGGCTCATGGGTTTTGCAGAGGGAGGGCCCCTGCAGGCTGTTCAATTCCACCTGTTATATGCAAATACGAAACTGAGGCCAAAGAAGGGAAGAGCCCTCCCCAGGGTCAGGAGTGTTACTGGGGGAACCTGGGAGAAGGTGGGGGTGTGACAGAATAGAAATCTCCTCGGTGCCAGCAGCACAGGGTACAGGGACAAGTGACAGTCAATCCACCCTCAAATGCTACTATGGGACAGAACCAGGGTCATCGCAGAAAACCCAACAGCTGTTGGTGCAGCCACTGCCCGAAGGGAACAGGAGCTACCACATGGTGAGTCCTGAAAATGTGACACTCTGTGGAAAAAGCCAGGAACAAAAGATCCTACAGCTTATGATTCCCAGAGCCTCAGTTTCCTGACCTACAATATGGGCATTCAAGTACCCAGATCCCAGGTGCTTGTAAGGCCTCATTAAAAATAATCCATGTATGGTTGGGTGCGGTGACTCACACCTGTAATCCCAGTACTTTGGGAAGCCAAGGCAGGCAGGTGGATCATCTGAAGTCAAGAGTTCGAGACCAGCCTGGGCAACATGGTGAAACCCCATTTCTACTCAAAATACAAAAATTAGCCAGGTGTGGTGGCAGGTGCCTGTAATCCCAGCTACTGGGGAGGCTGAAGCAGGGGAAATCACTTGAACTCGGGAGGCAGAGGTTGCGGTGAGTTGAGATTGCACCACTGCACTCCAGCCTGAGCGACAGAGCAAGACTCTGTCTCAAAAAAAATCCATGCAAAGAGCTTATACATAGTAAATGTTCGGTAAATATTGGTTATTATTATTAATCTTGTTATCACTGGAGGCATTTGCATTTATGCTTATTAGAGAAATGTCAGGGTGTACATGCGTATATATATGTGTATACATGCATGTGTGTACATGGTATATATGTGTGTATATGTGTGTCTCTGTGTGTACACGTGTGCACTTGCAAATCCATGCATTGTGCATGTGTGCGTTTGTGTGAACTGTATGAGTATAAATGTGTGTTCATATGCATCTCCCTGTATTTGTGCCTGTGTGTGCATGGTATTCGGGTATATGTGCACATACACCTCTGTATGAGAGCTGAGACGTGCATGACAGTGCATGAGTGGGTGTACATATGTGTGCACACGTGTTTGCATGCATTTGGATGCATCTGTTTATCGTGTGTATCTGCATGTGTACATGTGCGTGCATTTATGTGGGACTATGTATGTATGTGTGCGTGCCAGCATGCCCTTGTGTGTGTGTTTATTCTCCAGAGGTAACATCAGCAGGAGAGAGTGGGTGTGGAGACGCTGCAGGTGCCCACGGGAGCTAAGCCAGCTGCTGCGAGAGGGAAGAGGCTCTGGGCTGCCTCGGGCCCCATCCATCCCCAGCTCACCTTGTTTTCATCAAAGACGTTAAAAACAAATGTGGCAAACTTGGTGGGGTCTCCGAATGGGAAGAATTGCTTGTAGATCTTCTGGAAGCCTGCTGCATCCAGCTGCCCACTGGGGCAATCCTTGATGAAGCCTTTGTACCTGAAGGTAGCAGACCAGGACAGAGAGGGTAAAAGAGATGCCAACATCACCCACCCACCAACATTGCCCACCCTGGGCCTAAGAAAGCTGTGGCTCCTTGTTCAAAGAGATGGCGCCACATGGGGCTGTGGGCACAGTCCCACCTCTGCCTCTCACTATGGCGTGACCTTGGGTACAGACTTCACCACTCTGAGCCTCGTCTGCATGAGGGGGTTAAGAGCTGACATAGGAATTAACCCAGATACTGCACACAGAGTGTGCATGTGGCCACCCAACCCTGTGCTCCACCCAAGGGGGCTAAGAGTCACATGAATGGCCTCCCAGAAGCCACATGCCTGCGCAAGACCTTCCCACCTCCCCTCCTTCTCCTCTGAGCCCCTCCTGGCATCACAGCCGGGCAGGCTGCTACTGGCTGCTGGTGGGTAGACCACCATATGGAGCCGGCAGCTGGCCCCTCCCACATGCCCACACCCCGCCCCTCAGCCTCTGTTCCCAGGGAACTGGGTAAACAGCATGGAGGGACCCTGGCTCTTCCGACCAGACTTGTCTTTCCTGCAGTCCTGGTGCCCAGCACAAGATCCTCCAGATCCCCAGGCGGCTGATGGTGGGACGGCTTTGCACCCCCAATCCCAGGCCAAATCTCTGCCATTCACTAGCTGTACAACCTCAAGCAAAAGCCCTTACCTGTTTCCTCAACTATAAGAAGGGATGGTTCTCACACCCGTCTTGTCGGTATGAGGGACATGGTGCATGTAACCACAGGGCTCGGCACAAAAACGAGTCAATCGTGTGAATTTTAGAACTGTGAACCTAAATATGTGTTGTTCTAAACCAGTTCACAAGCTGGCTCCTGTGTGCAGTTGAACCGTCCCTCCCGCCCCACCACAGGGGGTCACACACTCCTCGGAGGACGATTCCTTCCACAACAGGAAGCCAGAGAAAGCAGTCAGCTGTTACCAACACCAGCTATTACCTTTGCAGGGTCAGACCCAACTGGGAACTCTGCACACCTTATTCTCCCAGAATGCTCCTAACAGCCCTATGAGAAGGTACTATAAGGAAGCTTTGTTTTTGTTTTGTTTTTTTTTGAGATGGAGTCTCTCTCTGTTGCCGAAGATGGAGTGCAGTGGCGTGATCTAGGCTCACTGCAACCTCCACCTCCTGGGTTCAAGCAATTCTCCTGCCTGAGCCTTCTGAGTAGCTGGGATTACAGGCATATGCCACCACATCCAGCTAATTTTTGTATTTTTAGTAGAGATAGGGTTTCGCCATGTTGGCCAGGCTGGTCCCAAACCCCTGACCTCAGGTGATCTGCCTGCCTCAGCCTCCCAGAGTGTTGGGATTACAGGCATGAGCCATGGTGCCAGGCTGAGGAAGCTCATTTTAAAGATTCGAAAACAGGCTCAGAGAGAGGAAGACATTTGCAAGTCCTCGAAGCCCAGGTTACAGAGGAGGTGGGGATCAAAGGTGAATGCTGAGGAGGCCAATGCTCAAGAAGCCAGATCACCGCCGACTTTCACACCGCCCGCTGCGCCCCCTTCAGTGTGACCCACGCAAAGCCTCCACCCTTCCCCACAACATCAGAGCGGGTTCTGGGATGACCGAGCAGGAAATTTGAGAGGCGCTGTGATTAGGGCCCATCCAGAGAGGGCGCACGTGGAAAAGCCACCGTCCCCCTCCCCAGTAAACAGGAATCTAAGGGACTGGAATGGACCCTGGGCACACGAGGACCTGAAGGGACATGTGGGGCTCCCAGGGGTGGGACCCTTGAACATTCCGCGGCCTGAATGGCGAAGCTCAGGCACTCAGCCTCCTGCCAGTACTATGGCTGCTGCTGCCGGAATGAGGGCTGCTGAGTCGGGGAAGTGGATGGGGGAAGGCAGAGAAGATGGGGTGGGATGTGGGAGGGAGGGGAGTTCTTCTTTAATCAGACCACAGCGGGCACATGACCGTCCTGGCAGTGCCCACAGCAAGCAGGAGGCCATGAATAAGCCAGCCCTCTGCACCTTTTCCTGTCCCTACCCCAGAACACCTTGAAGGATGCTAGAGGCTCAGGGAGGTAGGTCCCAGCTCAGGAACCACCGGCCTTTGTAGCAACCCATGACAGCAGCCCAATCCCGGGCCCTGTGAGACTGGGCAGTTCCCCCTCAACTCGCCCTGCACTCCCTGGCAGCCGGCCCAACCATCCCATTTCACACATGCGAGTGCTGAGGCACGGAGAGGTCAGGAGATTCATACACAGCAACTCGTGAGACTCAGAGCCGGCCCCACTTCTCCTGTCCTCTGCGCTGCCGGCCAGCCTGCAACCCCAGCATCCGTCCCTCCTGTGCAGGTGATGACTACAGGCCCACCCAGAATCCCTGCAGCCTGGCAGGACTCTAGGGGTCTACTGGCCTCTGCTCAGCCCTGAGATCTGTTCTGAGCCCCTGCTTGGATCAGCCAAGCAAGAAGGAAGCAAAGCAGGACAGTCAGAAAACTATGGGTGTGAGGCCAGGCACGGAGGCTCACGCCTGTCATCCCCGCACTGTGGGAGTCCGAAGTGGGCCGATCATTTGAGGTCAGGATTTCAAGACCAGCCTGGCCAACAGGGTGAAACCCCGTCTCTACTAAATATACAAAAATTAGCCAGGCCTGATGGTGCCTGTAATCCCAGCTACTCAGGAGACTAAGGCAGGAGAGTCACTTGAACCTGGGAGGCAGAGGTTGCACTGAGCCAAGATCATGCCACTGTGGATCTCGAGTCCCTTCCCACAGCAGGAGGAAGGGACACAGCTACCCCCCCTCCCAGCCCTCAAAGCTGCCTTCTCTCTGCTTCTTTCCAGTTTCTTCTGTTTCAGCCTGGCCCATGACCCCAGAACCCCAGGCCAGGATGGGCCCCTGGGCAGCGGGGGAAACATGCCTGGCACCAGGATGTAATGACCCGTGTGGGGACACACCCAGCTGTCCCCAGACCTCCCTGGATGCCAGGTGGTTACTTCTTCGTGCAAACCTTCTAACTTATCCACAATGGGTCTGTGCTACTTGAGTGATTCTAAAAGGTCCTTAAAAACAATAAAGACAAAACAAAAGGCACCGAAAGGCGTCCCTGCAGATGGCTCACAGGGGCCGCTCTAAGGAGGGGGAGGCTGTGCACAGAGTCTACGCGGCACGCGGCTGTGGAAGGCGGCAGTGAGGATCTGTGCAGAGGGAAGCCAGCCTCAGTGGGGAGCCTTCGGGGCCCTATCCAGTTACCACTGCAGAGGTTATCACTGTGGGGCCCCAGCCCCCTTCCATGCCATTAGCAGGGCCCCAAGAAGCCCCCCTTGAAGCAATGCCCATGAGGGGGTGCCCAGCCTGCTGCTCCAGCTTCCTTCTGCCAGACCCTGCATACTCCACACCAAGACTTCGGATAGGAGCCCTCTTCTCACTTGGCCTCAACCTGTCCCCTGGCCCCAGCCCCAGGTCTTCGGCCTGCCTGGCCCAGCTGTAGCAAGAATCCTAAGTCAGTGTAGCCAGAATCGCTACACCACGATATCTGATCAAGTTCCTCGGTGAGTCCTCGTCCTGCCCCCGCATCAGCCTGCCCAGTCAGTTCAGCAGGAATGCCCTGCCCTGGAGGCCTCCTCTTACTCAGTTTCCACCCACTGAGCCCTCACCTGTTCACTGGTGGTAAAAAGCCTCACTTTTCCTCGCATTCAGGGTTGAACCCCTCCCTCTCTGGGGTTGTGATAGTCCTGACACCTATTGCAAGAGTCCTGAATGAAGCCTTCCTGACTTTTTTTTTTTTTTGAGATGGAGTCTTGCTCTGTCGCCAGGCTGGAGTACAGTGGTACAATCTCGGCTCACTGCAACCTCCACCTCCTGGGCTCACTCAAGTGAATCTCCCGCCTCAGCCTCCCAAGTAGCTGGGATTACAGGTGCCTGCCACCATGCCCAACTAATTTTTTGTATGTTTAGTAGAGACAAGGTTTCACCATGTTGGCCAGGATGATCTCAAACTCCTGACCTCGTGATCCACCTGCCCTGGCCTCCCAAAATGCTGGGATTACAGGCATGAACCACTGCACCAAGCTGATGTTGCTTCTTTCAGGAAGTCGGCCCAGCCGGTCTGAGGTCTCGGGGCCTCCTCTACTCCCCTGCCTGCTTGTCCGTCCCAGCACAGTGGACCATGCTACACCATATGGCGCCTCCAGGCCAGTCCCCACCGGAACGTAGGCTCCTGACACCCCTGTGCCCTGATGATCCGCATGAGGCCTGGCGTGTAACGTGGGCCTGGTGCATGTTTGTCTAGTGAGTTAAATGAATGAACACACAAATTGCCAGGCAGGGGCAGAGGGAGCAAGAGCCGATGTGTCTGGGTCCTTCTTCCTGAGCCCTTGGAACAAGGACCCCTAAAGACCCCAGCTGGGACCTAAGAGCTTGGTGGGCACAGTAAGAAAACCACTGGTGCATGGCCAGGCGCAGTGGCTCACGCCTGTAATTCCAGCACGTCGGGAGACAGAGGCGGGGGGATCACCTGAGGTCAGGAGTTCCAGACGCGCCTGGCCAACATGGGGAAACCCTGTCTCTACTAAATACACAAAAATTAGCTGGGCCTGGTGATATATGTCTATAATCCCAGCAACTTAGGAGGCTGAGGCAGGAGAATCACTTGAACTCAGGAGACGGAGGCTGCAGGGAGCCGAGATCGAGTGCCACTGCACTCCAGCCTGGGTGATAAAGTGAGTGAGACTCCATCTCGAAAAGAAGAGAGAAGAGAAGGGAAGAGAAGAAAAACAGTGATGTGCTTCCACCCTCTGTGTATGGAGACCAGCCTAGAAAGGGAGAGAGAGGCCGAAAGTCACACAGCAAGTCACACAGCAATTCACCAGCAGAAACGGCACAGACGCAGGCTCCTGCCTCACTGGCTCCCCGCCTCACCCACCCTCCGTCAAACCGCCCCCGTGTAAGCGCATGGGTAAAGCAACTGCTACCCAAACATTACGTAACTCCCTCTTCATCATCAGAAGGTGGAGGAGGGA